GGAAGCTAAAACCATGGGTTCCTTTAAATCAGAGCTAGATAAGATTTTAACAACTCTGAGATATTAGCTAAGTTCTCCCCAAACGAGCTTGATGGGCCGAATGGCCTCCTCTCGTTTGTAAATTTCTTATGTTCTTATGTTCTTAATTCTGAGACAGATCACCCCAAAACTGAAGCAGTGCCACATAGTGATACCTAAAAAATGGTGATTTCAGATATTTCATCCCATTAGCACAATAACTCCAAAAAATTGACAGATCTTTTTCAATCTTTACACATATGTTGTTAGTAGGGTTGCAACATTATGAGATTCTTACAGTATGATAACTGTCTCAGAAAATATCATGGTGGCACGGTATCAGAGTTACGGTATTTCAATTTTATTATTATTGTCATATCCTGCCCCACCTAATCCTCCTGTGACCTCCTTGGCATGGCTTCAACAAACCATGTTTGTCCCTCATTAGCCCTACCTCTTTTTCCTGCCCTCCTGTGATGCACTCCACCTACCTCTTGTTACCTTCCCTGATTGCTCCTGTATTTAAGTGCCTCTCTGTCCAATGGACCCTAGTTCTGTCATTGACGTTGTGCTTCTCTGTTTCCCATGCCTTAGCCTCCCCCTTCTCAATCCCCCGCAATCTTGTCTGTTTGCCTGTTCTGTTTCTTTGAATACACCTTCCTTTGTTGTTGTGACATACAACAATTATTAGTCACAATGACCCACAAAGGAACGAAAACAGAAAGGATTTTTTTCGTTGAGCAAATGTTTTATTATAGTTGAAACAATTTTTAAAAATGGAAGTATTTGTAAAAAATTCTCCCTTTTGAAAATAAAGTTGTACATTTTCCATTTGAACAAAAGAAATTAGCAGGAAAAAATAAGGATCTTTTATAAAATAGATCTCTTTGGATAATAATCGAAAAAGATGTTGCTACAAAGTAGGGCTGTCAAAATTAACGGGTTAACGCGGATTAATACATCATCATGATTAATCTGATTAAAATTTTTAACGCAATTAACCCATATGCAGCGCAGTATGCACTTCAAAATCACTGAAATGTCTCTGTCAACCCATTTCGGGCAGTTTTGGTGCGTTCCATTTCCCCTCGGAACTTGTATTCCGAGTCAGATTCCGGAGTTTTGAAGCCGGAAGTGACTACATGCGCTCCCGTTTCTCGGACATCCGAGAAATATCTCGGAGCAGCACAGAGGATCCCGACATTCCCGAGTTCAGAATCCAAGATGGCTGCGCCCTTTATCAACAGAAGGGAAAGTGGTAGTCTTATACTGTTTAAGCACTACTTCTTATTTGTGGCTCATTAAATCGGTCGCACACGCTATACTCTCCAACTTATCTGTGGATGTGTTGCTACGGAGTTTTATATGTAAAGCACCGCACGTAATGTGTTATCAACTGATATTGCTGACAATGGCAATTAACCGGGCTAGAATTGGACTTACGGTAGTTTGTGCTAATTGTAAGCGAACGAAGATAAAGACCAGTTAAACTGAGGTACCTT